CTCTCTCTTTAAAAAAAAAAAGTTAACAAAAATCTAAAATTAAATCAGTATCTTTTCCCTTCTCCACAACTATACAACCTTAAAAGACTACTTAACATGATCCCCTAATTTGTATATTATTATTGTTCAGTGTCTTATTTTTGCCCTTTCTTCCTTCAGTTTACACATTAATATTATTGATTTAAAGATGATATTTATTTAGATTTATCCATATATTTGCCAGTTTCTTCCTTATCATTACTTCTTAGGATTTATTGAGTTATCTGGATCTGAGATTTGGCATTTTTCAACAATTGTGCATTCTCTAACAGTATTTCTTCAAATAATGCCTCCATCCCATTCTCTATTATTTCCCAAAAACTCCAATCAGGAACTTTTTAGACTTTATTGCTCTCTCCTATATATACTTTGAACCTAGCTACAACATTTCTTTGTCTCTTTGAATTGTATTGTAACTGTCTTTGAATCTTTGTTTCAACTTGCTATCACTTCTTTTGGGTTCAATCTGTTTTGAATTTTAAATTGTAGTAATTCTGTTCTTTGTGGATCTACATAGTTCTAACAAGCCTTATTCCTGCCTTATTTTCTTTATTTTTATTTTTTTTTTTTTTTGGTATAGGGATTGAACTCAGGGGCACTCAACCACTGAACCCACCCCTGGTCCTATTTTGTATTTTATGTAGAGACAGGATCTCACTGAGTTGCTTAGCAGCTCACTAAGTTGTGAAAGCTGGCTTTGAACTCTTGGTCCTCCTGTCTCAGCCTTCCCCAGCCTGTCCCAAGCCTCTGGGATTTACAGGTGTGAGTCACCGCAACCAGCTCCTTACTTATTTTGAGGATGCTTTTTTACTTTTTAAATAATTGTTTCATATTTTATATATGCCAGTACACTACAGGTTTTTTTGAAGTTTTTGAGGATATATCTTCTCTACCCTATTGCTACTGTGTGTCACTCAGGGTCCCTTATTATCATGTGTGACTTGTGAATTTTGTATGTGAATGTCTCATTTTACTTGAAACCTAAATTGGGAAAATTATTTGAGTTGAAATTCAATTTATCCAAAGAAAATTTGCTTTTACCTTTGCCTTTGTGTTTGGCAGCACTACCTACTTGAGATAAGCCTCTCCAAACTAAAATCATTTTCATACCATATTTCAGACTCAACCCCAAGTGCTGACTATCACCTTTCCTAACAAAATATCAAAGTTCTTAGAGTAGTAAATGATTAGCATCAGAAAGTATTTTGAGTAAATTTGTAACTCTGCTGTCTTTGAACCTCTGAATTTTGTTTACTCTTTGTTAAGGTGGATATAACAAAATGTGAAAGCATCTCTGTAACTGAAATCATGTATGTGAAAGCACATAACAAAAGGGTATTGTGTTGGGAAATATAAGAAATTATTATAGGATAAATGATTGCAAGTGATAAATTTTTGATGTCACAGTATGTTAATTTTCTATTAACTAATAAATGTGGATAACAGTTTATTAATCAGTAATACAAAAAAGTTTTGTGGTACTATTTAGTAAATAAAATAAATGTAGATGTTTATTACATCTGTTACTTTTTTCCATTTGCTTTACAGAAGAGCCTTGAACTTAGGAATTCTTAGAGATCCTGGATCTGAAATTGAAGATAGACAATACCAAATAGACCTGCAGTCCATCAATATTGGTACTGCACAGTGGGACCAACTAAAACCAGAGAAGGAAAGTGGAACAGGAGGGGTGCTTACAGAGAGTGAAAGGAATTCTCAAAATCCAGCCCTTGAGTGGAATATGGCCAGCAGGTACGAAATGATTGAGAAATGATATTGCCAGTAGGGTTAGTGATCTTTAGCATGCCCAACCTAAGTGTTTGGTAGTGCTTCTGCTTTTCTTTACAAACAAAATAAATATTGTAATTTAGCTGATGATTTTGCTGGGAAACCTGCTAATTTTACCACTGTTACATTATTACAAATTAGAGTTGTTTGTTTATTTGTTTGTTTAACCTTGCTATTTGTTGAAAAGATTCACTTTATTCTATTCACATTATTTCTTGAAATCCATTTGAGTTTAGGGTCAATTCTTTTATTTTTTAGCCTCTTCTTTCTACTTAAAATAATAAAAGGAAAACAGTAACAAATGCTTTATAACGCTATGTTCAAGTTAGAGAAGAAGGAACAGCAATAATTCTTAGCTCTGGGTTTTTTCCATTGTCTTTAACTAAAAGCTATATTCACAGAGAACATTTTTTAAACAATTAGTCCTGAATGTAAGCTATTAAGATATGTAGAGAGCCACTGCCATCTTACCCAGGCTGTTCATGGTTCTTATCAGAGAGATAGGTAAGATTATTTGCTAGAAAGAAGATACTAGGCATTAAAACTTAACTTTATATTGTAATACAATTTATTATATTGTAATAAAGTTAATTTTTCATGAGTTCTCTTATAAGATTAGATTTCTTGGGGCTGGGGTTGTAGCTCGGTGGTAAAGCATTTACCTAGCATGTGGGAGGCACAGGGTTTGATCATCAGTATCACATAAAAATAAATAAATAAGATAAAGGTATTGTATCCATCTACAACTTAAAAAAAAAGATTAGATTTCTTTAAATCATCTTGTGTAGTCTTTACCATACTCCTTTTACAATGATGATTGCTTTAGTTCTATTCCTTTAATACAAAAACTATATTTTTCTCCATGTCATAATAATAATAATAATGGTATTCATAAGGGGTTATATAATATTTATCACTTTACCTTGTTTAACTTAATTTTTACAATAAAGTTGTAAAAAATTTTTTTCCCTAAGAATACATGAAGAAACTGAAGCACAAAACATCATACTGGTCACATAATAGAAAATAAAGATTTGAGTGAATCAATGAAAATTTGAATGGTTGGATGATTAACTGACATGACAAGTCAGGTTACTGAGTATAAATGTTTCTGAGAGATATTTATTCAGATGAAGTCAGGAAATTTTAGATCTAATAGAGCCCAGTTCTGATGCATAATCTCAACAAAAGAATAAACAGGGCCTTAATATAATTCTGTTTGTTTTTGAATAGGTATTTTAGGTAAAATTCAAAAGATACAAAGTAAAGAATAATTTACTCCCTCCCCTGACCAGTATCAAATAGTAGTCTTTTTTAATGATTTTCATTCTCTTTTTCTGAGTATATTATGCAATTTTTTTCTTTGATTATGATGTGTTTCTGTGTGTTATGTTGGGAACAAGAGAATAAAAATTAAGCATAGAGAATTATTAAATTCTAAAACTTATAGATGTCCTCTTCCCAAATCTTAATTTTCCAAAGCTGAAAAGATTCAATCAGATAGCAGAGCACTATGAGGATTATAATAAGTAATTTTTTTTAGGAATAAAATATTACCCAATTGGGGAAGAAGCTGGGAAGTAAGGATCTAATAGAGGGACTTAGAGGATCAGAGAAAAGTGACAACAAAAGCCTCTCGAAGTGCTTGATCTGGGTAAAATCATTGCAGCTTTCAACAGAACCTGGGAAACTAGGTGCATCTGGCTGTTAGAGTGGGACCATGAGGAGACTGATAGAGAGATTAGTGGGAAGTAGTGGCCTCTGCATCTGGGTTTGGGCCTGAAGTTAAGTCAGGAGGAAGACATGATTACAGAGCCAAGGAAAGTGAGGATAAGCTAGTATCTTCCAACACCTCTGCATTGGCCTTTCACTGCATTTAAACCTTGGTGATCTTCATAGAACATTAGTTACTACTGTTTCCTTACACCTTCCACACCTTGTGCAGATTTCTCTTGACAAACTTAAAACTCTGAGCCATCCTTCACAAGTTGTTATACAACAAAAGCACTACAGAATACTAAGTTTAATGATAATCCTTGGCTTGTTCGGTGTCAGTTATAGAACTAAGTCTAGAACCCTGGTTTCCTTACTCAGTTTCCTTATTTGCTTAGGCTTTGCCCCCACAGGTTTATGCTACAGTTCATTCTTAGCTAATCTTTTCTTTAAAAAAGGTTTTCCAAATCATGGCATTTGCAGGAAAATGAATGGAGTTAGAGAAGATAATGCTAAGTGAAGTTAGCCAATCCCAAAAAACTAAATGCCGAGTGTTTTCTCTGAAATAAGGAAGCTGATTCATAGTGGGATAGGGAGGGGGGAGCATGGGAGGAATAGACAAACTCTAGATAGGGCAGAGGGGTAGGAAGGAAAAGGAGGGGGCATGGGGTAATTAATGATGGTTGAATGTGACGATCATTATTATACAAAGTACATGTATGAGGACACGAAAATTTCCTTTTAACAACTATTTTTCTATTTCTTCCTATTACTGATTATGTTTATATCCTTAGAAATTTTATCTTTTAAACTTTATTATCAGAGAAATATATGTTCATTTAAATATTTTGATACAAATGTTTAAAATTCATGTGATATTCTGTGGGCTCTTCCCCCTAACAGATTTCTTTTAAGATTGTTGTTTCTATGTTTGCTTATCAAGCAGAATTTGAATATGACAGATTCCCCCAATCATTCCTATATGTCATAGTCACCATAACATTAAATGTGGGTAACTGTTGCTAAGTGTTGACATTAAAATCCCAGAACCACATGTTACTACTAACCTTATTTCTGAGAGATTGTGAATATTTGGTGTGTCTTTAGATCTCTTTAGTTTTTGAAAGTGTTATCCGCTCAAAAACGTTCACACCTGACAGAAGCCTTTGTATATTTTGATTTGTAATTAAACAAATATGAGATTTTTCCAGAATTGCACCTGAAATCCTAAATGGAATGTGCAATGAAAGCAGTTTTCTTTGTTTTAAATCTTTAACCTGAAAACCATCCCTTTTCTTATATTAATTTGCTAGTTTATCAAGCCTAACACTTAATGAAATTATAGAACTTAGTCTGATTCTCATATTTTATAGACTAATGCTTAGAATGGCCTAAACATTATAAAATTTTATAATGTTTTACTTAAACCTTTCCATGACTTTCCATGAAAGAATGAGATCCCCTTCCTGTTTAAAGTACCTAGGGACTAACAGTGAAGGAAAAAGTAACCCTGATAACAGCAAAAAGAAGCAAACAGTTTTTACTTTCAGCAACCAGCAGATATCTGCTTCCTTCCATCTTGATTGAAGGTGTTCTGTTGCAATCTGAAAAATGTCAGAGCAGTAAATGGAAAGAGATCCTGTCCTGTCTAGTCTCATTCTTCCTTATATCTTTGCATAGTGACTGACAGACTGTAGGTACTCAAAAAATAAGAAAAAAATCTTTATATCAAATATAATTATAGTAATATACTGAACCATAAAATTTTTAAAAACCCTTCAATTATTTTTAATACTTTTAAAATTTTGTTTTAATTTTTTGTTTAGTTGTCAATGGATCTTTATTTTATTTATTTATATGTAGTGTTGAGAATCAAACCCAGTGCCTCACACATACTAGGCAAGTACCCTCAACCCCAGCCCATTCTTCACTTATTGTGAAATCTTTCAGCTCTGGCATGGTAATCCTTATAGAGACAAATAGATGCCTGAGTCATTAAAACTCAATTAACCAAATCCTCAAATAACTAATTTCTCTCCTGCAACATTTTGTTTTTAATAGAAGTAGCCAAAGAAAATAATATCAAGAGTGTACCTAAAAGCATAGGTACAACAAATATCTATTATTACTTATAATTTTATGAGTTTCCCTGGTACATCAATATATGTTAGTAAAAGCCTTATCATGAAATAAAAGAAATCTCTTGATCCTCCATATCTTGGCAGATTTCTATTTTTTTCCAAGGTACAACATATAATATTCTCTTCTTAACAAATTTTAGCACTTCCTCTAGTCTCTCCCTCCTCAGTGAAGCTTATATTGAAGGTTTTCTTTATCAGTTCTATCAAGTAAAATTAGATGCAGGAGTTTCTAGCTATGATATAAACAACTGGAGGGAATAACCAGAGGTATTATTCATTAGACATCTCAGTAAAATTGAGTTATGTTAATATTTCAATTCAGGCATGCTCATAAAACTATCATATAGAGGTTGTAATAAATCTAGCACTTGTTATCATCACAGTTACATTAACCATAGTTTTTATTTATTATTTGTTAGGGTTTTGTCCTGTTTTTGAGGATGAATTTTTAGAGTTGGTGTTTTATGGTTTTGGTGGTTTGTTATTTTTGTTTTGTTTTGGCATATTTTTTGGAATATTTATTTTTAATTTTATTTGATTTTGCCAAACTAAATTTATATTGGCATTTTATTTAAATATATTTTAAAATAATTCTCATTACAACCTATAGTCATTATACCATTGTTCATAAGATGTTTTGTATGTGCAGAACCTTAAGGTAAAAGATTAGATCATTTACTGAGTGTTCCCATACCATCCTTATTATATTTTTTATATTTTATGATTATTTTGCTTAGTTATCTTTCCTGTTAAATTGAGCTCCATGAGAATCAGCACTATGAATCCATTTTTGCCATTTCTCCCATCACTAGCAAAGACCCTGGCATCATAGTGAATACTCAAGTTCATGTTTCTCAATTTCAGAGAAAGATAAATTCTATGAAAATAATATATTGGTATAATGTGACAAAAGTGACTGGGAAATTTCCTTAGATTGGGGCTCAGGGAAGGCCTCTTTTAATACCTGAGTGAAAAGAATGAGCTATACATGCAAATTCCCCTGCAGTATTTCTACCTTAGATGTTCCAGGCAGAGCAAAGATCCTTGAGTAGGAACAACTTAGTACATTTATGGATCATGCTTGGCAAGGATGAAAAAAGCAATAGAAGTCACATTTTAGGGAGAGAAGAGCTAAATTACAAATGGAGTGGTCAAAGGGAGTTTGACATTTATTTTAATTGCATTAGAAAGTCTTTGGATAGAGTTCCTCTTGAAAAAACACTTAAGTAGGCTTAAACACGTAAGTAAATATTTCATGTTCAAAGTTACTATACAATTCAAATTATTTATCCTTGTGACTCTCATTAATCTCAAAATAAGAGGAATCTTTAGGAAAAGGTTTATGTAACAAATAGGTTTTCAGATACCTGAGAGTTTAAAATAAACGTTTGTGAATATTACTGTTTTTCATATTTAAAAATAATCCTTTGTAATTCATTGATTATCAGTGGTAATCATCACAAGACTTAAGTATCTTCTGCTTTACTACCTTCTCTTTGGAGCTCAGCTCAAATACCATGGCAGGAAATTAATTTGTTTAAGCATTGGCCTGCACAAGTAGGCCATCAACATTTTTCATTCTATTGTTTTAGTAGAATACTTTGGAAAACTTTGATACCATTTTTCCTACTTCATAATATGCAATATTTGAAGTATCATTAAATTTCTTTGTTATTTTTGCACACAGACACACCAAATGTGTGGTAGTTGGGCAGAATTTTAGAGTACCTTGAGCCCAGGAAAAATGGCCAGTCTTTCTGAATATGTTTTCATCACTGCATGTGGCATACACCTGTAGCATTCTTGCTTAATAATAGTTTTGGAAAACAATACTTTCCTTTGCTTACAAAATACACCTTCCAAAACTTAACTGAAAAGCTTTTGTTAACACAGGACTGTTTTCCTGTTATTTGATTAGAACCTATGAGAGTCAATGTTTTGTTAATTTTTAACAAGAGTTTTGTTTCTGTGGATACAATCCTCTATATTAGATGATAGCTACAAATAAATGTGTCTTTTTTGTTGTTGTTTCTGTGGACAATATAAATCATTGTTTTATTAGAGTGCATCAGAGAAATATTTCTTCCACAACTTTCCTAACCCCATGTGCCATAGCATACTGTAGGTAAACTTTTTTCTATATAGGTGAGTTTAACCTTATGTTATCATAGTTGATAAACTGTTTCATGGACCCATGAATAATTGTGTTTTTCTCAATCTATGGATTCTTACATTTCATCATTTATAAAAAAGCTTTTAGCCTTTGTTCCTTTTTCTTTTTCTGTTCTCTCATTTTATAATGCTAATTAAATATGAAAGACTTCTCTCCTTCTCTCTTAATTTTTTAAATTATTAAATTATTTAAAACTAATATAATTATTATGTGATAATTAAAAAGAAAAAACAAAAAGAATTCTTTATAGTATATTCCTGAAGTATTAATAGTTCTATTTAGTTTACACTTTCTTAAGCTATATCTAAAATGCCATTTATCTCAACTAATATGCATTTTAATTTTAATGGCAACAATTTTCATTTCTGCAAATTATATTTAGTTATTTTTGTAGCATTTTTCTTTTTACTTCATTCCTTATTTAAAATTTTAAACAAGTATATTTTATTATCCATATAAACTAATTTTCTTATCAAAAGTTCTTGGCAGTACATTTGAAAATGAGATCTAATTCTTTTGCTAATAAAATAATCTGTGATTAGAAGCTTATCTTAAGTGGTCTTTGTCCTTGAGAATTCTGTTTTCATTGAGGACATGATTTTTTTTAATAAATTTTTTTTGAGAGAGAGCGAGAGAATTTTAATATTTATTTTTTAGTTTTCAGCAGACACATCTTTGTTTGTATGTGGTGCTGAGGATTGAACCCGGGCCGCACACATGCCAGGCGAGCACACTACCGCTTGAGCCACATTCCCAGCCCAGGACATGATTTTTTTAAAAAATATATTTTTGGTTCTAGATGGGCACAATACCTTCATTTTATTTATTTATTTCTACGTGGTGCTGAGGATTGAACCCGGTGCCTCATACTTGCAAGACATGTGCTATGCCACTGAGCCACAATCCCAGCCTAGGACATGTTTTTGTAAAGAGATTTTGGTCTATTTGGGACAGATGCTATAGCATTATTAATGATCTGATGCCCCTTTCATGTAAATAACTCTAAAAGAGTATTCCAGGATCATACAGGTAATGTAAATTAAAACTACTCAACACACATGGGGAATTTCCCATTTTTTATTTTCCAGGAAGATAGATGGTTTTTTTGTTTTTGTTTATGTATTTTATATAAATAATTTTTGGTTGTTGTGTTATGTTTTGTTTTTCAACAAGTTCTCTTAGCAAAACAGGCAAATTCCCTTGCTCCTTTTTCAGATTGGTTAATTAATATTTTCTTAGCTCTTCAGGTACCCAAGATCTAGTTCATTTCAAAACTCTTGCCTTGTCTCAAAATAGCTATTAAAATGTATTTACTTGGTTTACTGAGAGTGCTGAGGTCCTCCACAAACAACCTCATTAATACTTTAGGTTTTAGTTCTTTCTTTTAAATTTTGAACTGTAATATTTTAGAATTTAACTTTTTGTTTCTAATACTAATGACTTGATTTAAATTTTATTCTATAATCATATGTCTCATGTTTTTTTACTGATTTAATTCATCACACAACAATAAAAAATATGTGATGTGGACAAGTACTTTTTGTTTCCATCAGTACTTTAGTTAACATTTGTTTTTATTTGGTTCCCTGCCATCTTTTCCATTTTAAGGTATTTTTAATCCATCATATATTTTAGCACTCCCCTATGAGAGCACATCAGATGTTACATGTTTCTCACATTGGTCATTTTATGGAATTTGAGCTATTAGTCTATAATTATAGTGTCTCTCAGGATCTAAACCCTTCCTCTGTAGTCACATATTTTAATACTTCTTCCTGTTACTCTCTACTTACTAGATCTCTTAATTCTTTAAAATTGACTTTCTTGAAATTTAATACTTATGTGTCACAGAACCAGATGATCCAATTTACTTTTTTGGCAGACATCACATAAAGCTCTGCCTGTTGCACATTTAACAAAAGATGTTAGTACTCTCTAGGCTCCTCTGATTTGGCGGGGGGGAGATATGCATAAACTTGGATTTTATCTACGTTTTTTCATGAGATAACATGTCAATTATTTGATTTCAACTTTATCACTTTATAATATAAGGAAATGATAAGAAACTTTTATAAAGAATATTATATTAATATGGTTCAAAGGAAATTTTAAGGTATGTCTTTCAATAAAACATAAACATAGTATATTATTTCAGAATGAAAATTAAGGATATAAATAAATGGTCTTGAAGGTAACAGCATGATACTTGGTTTCTCAGTTTCATCTTCTACCATGCAATCAGTGCTTCCTTTGAAAGTCTTAGAAATTTTCAATGCTAAGTAGAAATATTGTGCTATATAACTGATCACAGGTAAGAATGTGTGTTGTCTGACATCAGCTTGCCCTCCAAGCCAGTTCTGGAACCTTTGTTCCTATTGGATAACTTTAGTCTAGAACTTCATTTTCTCATTGGTGATGTGGGTCTAATACTGATTTTTACTTTATATGCAGAGTTGTTTTGAGAAAACATTTGGTTTTAGACACAAAAGCCATTAAATGGACTTTAAAGGCTGCAGTAATTCATTCAGTAAGATGGTTCTTAGAGCTTAACAAAAGGAGTCAAAGATTAAGAGGATGTGCTCATGAGTCTATGAGATTGGAAAAGATGGCAGTTGTCAAATGGAAGGTCAGAAATATTAAAAAAAGGAAATCAAAAATTATTTCAGCTGGGAGCAGTGGCACATGCCTCTAATCCCAATGGCTCAGGAGGCTGAGACTGGAGGATTGTGAGTTCAGAGTCAACCTCAGCAACTTAGACTGTGTCTCTAAATAAAATATTAAAAAGTGTTAGGCATGTGTCTCAGTGGTTAAGTGCCCCTAGGTTCAATTCCTGGTTTTAAAAAAATTCCAAAAACAGTAAAATTATTTGATGATAACAATGATATGCATCTATTTGTAAGAAAAATGGTCTTAAGATGATACTAATGTGAAATGCCTTAATTATTTATATCTGATTTTTTTCAGTGAAGATTTTTCCTATCTTTCATAGGTCTTTGTGGTATTGCAGTTAAGAAACTGTGTCTATAAAATATGCAGTATTCTCAGAATAGTAATATAATTTTGTCATCTATTTTCATAGTTTAAAATCTTAATGAAAATTATCCTTGAAAAAAGTGAAATAATAATTTTTTACTTTATCTTTTAGCATAAGGCGACATCAAGAAAGGAGAGCAATTTTGACCCCCATTTTGACTGACTTTTCTGTACGAATAACTGGAGCACCTGCCATAATTTTCACCAAAATAAGTTCTCCAGAAAATCTCCATACAGAGGTAGGACATAATATAGATGTCATTTTAGTCTAAATAATAAAGCAATTCCTCTTGATATGTTTTGAATTTTCAAGTTTCATCCCATGTGACATCAAACTAGCTTATTAATAATAAGATTTATCATAGATAATATTTACTAAGCACTTCCTAATGCTATACAGTTATTGCTTTCCTTGTAATAACTCACTTAATCCTCATGATAATGTAGTTGATAATCTACTCCTACTTGCATTTTATAGATGAGGAAACTGAGGTTTTAAGAGGGTGTCCAATTTGCAAAATTTCACAAGAAGTAGAAAGTATAACAAGGTATGAACTCAGGTGGTCTAGCTCTAACTTGTATACTATTAACTTCTCTAGCATCTTTCTAACACATCTATATACTAAGAATTACATATTATTTTGTCAGTATACAAATGTATTAGAAAGATGCTATAGAATACTCCACAGTACACTGCATTGCTAAGCTAGGATTTTGGGTATGTTAGGTGTACTAAATGCATTTTAGGTTCCATTCTCAGCACTGCACACAAGTAAATAAAATAAAGGTCCATCAACTAAAAATACATATAAAAAAAGATTTACACATTGTATTCACATTTTAGAATTATTTCAATTTCCTGATTATATTTGGCTCACAAAAAAATGAAATAAAAGGATTGGTATTATAGCTCAATGGTACAGTGCTTTCCTAACAAGTGTGAGGCCCTGGGTGTGATCCCCAGCATCATAGAAGCTAGGTAGTTAGGTATTAGGTAGGTATATAGATATTATAATCACTTTTAATTCTTCAGTGTTTTTTTCCCTGAAAATACTCTTTACTTGAATTCTAAAGTATTCTCATCATGAAATTCAGAAACAAAAGAATGTATCAAACTGTAAATAAAATACCATTGCATGTTAATTAACTTATCTTCTAACTTGAAGGCATTATTAGAAAGTTTCTCATTCCCAAGTGAAACAGGCACAAAGTTGAAGAGCAGAAAACCTAGTTCTAGTCCAAGCTCAGCTTCATGTTAAAAGATGTCATCTGCAACTATTCATTTAAATTCCCAGTTCCTTAGTTTCCTCATACATATCTTAATTGCCTCATGTACAACTGTTTTAAATCTCAAACTGATCAGAAGATGATAGTTATAAAAGAAGTAAAAACAGAACTTATTTTTATGGTGTTAGCTAATGATTCTACCATTGCATTTATACCATTTAACCTACAATTACAGGATGCTTATTTTACAGGATGATATTCTACTAATAGAACTAACATATTTTTAGGACAATGTTTCATCTTTCTGGGAAATGTTACAATGACAATTAAAAAAGAAAAAGAAACCCTCTGAGCCAATGTACTTTTTTTCATTATGACTAAAATAAGAATTCCAAGTATAATGAGAGAATACAGGAAATTTGTGGAGAAAAAGTTTGTTTAACCAAAAAAAAAAAAAAGGATAATCATGTCAGATATGCTATTCTTTATAGCTTTATTAAAAACTATTCTAAGCTTTCCAGTTTGTATTTGGACAGCCATAGTGTCCTTTCAAATCCATGCCTTTGGATGATGCTAACAAGGAGAAGGCATGTTGGACATTCCCAAGCATTTAACGTTGTCCACATGGACTTCATGACAGGAGACAGGACTTTTGCTTAACTATTAATTGAAGCTTCTGGATGTCTTTTTTGTTGTTTTCCTAATAGGTTTTTCAGTGATAAATGTTCAAGTTATACAGAACAGCAACATTAAATAATGGATGGGTAACTAATGCTGCCAAGAGTTTAACAGTTGTAAGAAGTAAAATTAATTAGTCTAGCTATCTTTGGCTTCAGCACCATATGCTATTACAAACATTTCAAATTCTCTTGTGGAGAATACTTACACCATAGTGTTTGCTTAAAATTGCCTTCCTAGAGTTGCCTATTTATATCTGTCTGCTCCCTTAGATTATAACCTCCACATGAGCAAGTTGTCCTTTAAGAACAACCTTATTTTTTGTGATAATCCTAGTATTCTACTATAGTGACTAGTTCTTAGAAGAATTTCAGTAAATACTTGTTGATTTGAAATGATATACAAGATCCTGCTTTAGAACTACGTTGTTTCTTATATATTAAAACAATGATAGAAGTTTTGAAGTATGAACAAGTCAAATGGGTATGAAAAGGTGAAAAATTCTTTTTAATGACCCAGGCCTGGCATATAGTAAGCCTATATAAATGATTTTAAAATTAATCCATTAAACTATGGCAAGTGACTACTCATCATTTTTGCTTTTCTCATTAACATATGAACTTAAGTCCCATTAGACTTAGAAAGTAGTAATAGTCAAATAAGCATAAAAATGATGAATTATTATCTGAAGCCTATCTTATTTCTTTATCTGTATTCAACCTTTGTTCCCTGCCCTCTCCTTCAGGAGATTTTAGTATGTGGCCATTCCTTGGAAGTGAATATAACCACAAACCTGGACTTCTTCCTAAGTGTGGCTCAAGTTCAACTCTTACATCAGTTAATCGTAGCAAATATGACTGGTCTGGAACCATCAAAAAAGGCCACAGAGGTAACTATTACCTGATTTTAATTAGAGTTACTGCATTTGTGCCAACTTTACAATAGAACAGCTATAATTAAACTAGATGTTTTCTGCTAATTATTCTGCATTTAACTTTATTCACAATATGATCATAAAACATTCTGTATTGATGTTCTTTAGTTTTGAAATTTGTTTAGTCTCTTTTCCTCTTATTTGTCATGCAACTTTACAAAATTGCTGTACAATGACCTCAGAAAAACATGATTTTATTACCCTGCTGAATTTTCTAAAGTGTGTTGTGAGAAACCTAGTGTAGCTTTCATTGACTCAGATACATTACAGGGATAGGGCTTCTTTTGGAAGTGAACTTTGTAAGAGTACTGTGGGAATATCCTCAATAAATAACTGGTAAGTCATTTATTTCTCATACTCAGTGAAGAAAGGACACAATGATAGAAGTTGAATGCCTGCCTAGAATTTTAATTTTGATCTGGTCTTCTTTGGAAGTCTATTATTACCACAAAGCATGTCAGCATAAAACAGAACAATGCTTGTTAGATGCTTCTCGAAGTATTTTCTTTGCTTTTTCTTTTGTGTTTCTTTCGTCATATCTGTACTTAGAATAAATCTTCTATAAAATTCCAGGAAAACAAACTGTGAAAAAAGGTATTTCTTTTATTCTTACCATGAGTCACAGAGAAGGCTAATTTCTGTTTATTAAGAATGAAAGAGGGCTAGGGTTGTGGCTCAATGGCAGAGTTCTTGCCTCATACATGTGAAGCACTGGGTTTGATCCTCAGCACCACATAAAAAAAAAATAAACAAATAAAATAAAGATATTGTGTCCAAATATTAAAAAAAAAAAAAAAGAATGAAAGAAACCAGGCTGGGTTGTGGCTCAGTGGTGGAACACTCTCCTAGTGTATGTGAGGCACTGGGTTCAATTTCAAGGCACCACATATAAATAAATTAATTAAAGTTCCATCTACAACTGGGAAAAAAGAAAAAGAATGAAAGAAACCAGGCATGGTGGTACACACCTGTAATTCCAGCAGCTCAGGAGGCTGAGGTAGAAGGATTGCAAATTCAAATCTAGTCTTGCCAACTTAGTGAGGCCTTAAGCAATTTAGCAAGACATTGTCTCAAAAATAGAAAAAAGCTAGGAGTGTAACTCTGTGGCTAAGTGCCCCTGGATTAAAAAAATTTAAAAAAAAAAAAAGTAAATGTAGGGAAGTAGGGAAGGAAATAGTGTTTAATGAGAGCCACTTGGTGCTAGGCAGTGTGACCAAGCATTGTCATGTAAGTTAACACATATATTTTCAAGCATCAAGAGAGATGATCTACCTAAAATCATTATCCATAGCTAAAATACTGATGATCTGAGGATTGAATTAAGTCAGTTCTCTTCTTATTCTGCTACAGATCGTGTACCTAACTACACCTTTTTCTCTTGGTGTTATTTATTTTTAAAAAGCTATTTAAGTATGATAAACTTTTGTAAATGGAGAGTCTCTAACTCAATCATCTTTTACCACCTATGATTTATGTTTATTTGTTGTCTTTTTAAGGACTGTAAAGCTGTATATTCTCCAAAATATTAGAGAAAATATTCCAGTATACTTTAGATAATCCATAAAAATATAATTATGTGACATGAAATAAGCAACTTTTAAAAATTCTCCCATGAATTTTCAATGAAGTCCATTAAGCAAGTTGGGTTAGAAAATAATATTTCTTATTCCTTTATTATTTGTGCCAGTTTTATGAATCTTTTATATCAAAAGAAATCTAACTTACAGATTACTTATTTGTTTTAGGAATTAATAACTTTTTACCTACACACTTCTACTGCCTATCCCTAGGATCAAATTTCATTAAATAAAAGAACACTCAGAATAATTAATACCCTTCCCTGAACACTGAGTCATCCTTCACAGTTTCATAAACTAGCGAAACATTGTTACTTGCAGCTTTTAAAATGCAGTGGCACTTTGTTCCTTTTTAAATATCATGTTAAAAGTATAGATTATATATTTTAAAACAGTAAGTATTATGTGTGGTCACTATAATTGTAAAGAAAGGGGCAGAGTATACTGAGAGTGGATAATTTGGCACTATCCCTAACCCTGGAGTGATACATTTGTGGGCATTTCAGTATTTTAGAAAAGAATTTCGGTGAATTTTCTATTTTGAGAGGTTATTAATATTTTCAGACAAATCTTTGGCAATGTTTCATTTGAAATATTTGAATCCATAAATTATTAGCAGAACTCATATCTGATAGTCTAAGGATATAAAGACATTTTAGTTACATAGAATAATTGTTTATAATCAGTTGAAATGTATTTTGAAAGAGCTAGGTGATTACCTTTACAATACTATATTTTTAAACTCTTTAAAATTTTAAACTTGACCAAGTTAATGGAAAAATGCAAGAAGGGATATGTGTTTGTTAAAAAGACATATCCTGGGGCCTGGGGATGTGGCTCAAACGGTAATGCACTTGCCTGGCATGTGTGGGGCGCTGGGTTCGATCCTCGGCACCACATAAAATAAAATAAAGATGTTGTGTCTGCTGAAAACTGAAAAATAAATATTAAAAAAATTCTCTCTCTCTCTTTCTCTCTCTCTCTCTCTCTCTCTCTCTCTCTCTCTCTCTTTCTCTCTCTCTCCTCTTTCTCTATCTAAAAAAAAAAAAAAGACATATACTAAGGGGCTGGGGTTTTGGCTCAGTGGTAGAGTGCTCACCTAGCACACATGAGGCATTGGGTTCAAACCTCAGCACCAAATAAAAATGAAATAAAGATATTATGTCCACTTACAACTAAAAAATAAATATTTTAAAAAAGACATATTCTGAAATTAGGTATAGCTACTATTTCATAAGAATAATAAATTTTAAAAAGTAAATATATAAAAACAAAAAATATAAATAAATAAAATAAATATTTAGGGCTTTTTTAACTATAGTTTTATGTTTCTGAATACTAAAATTTTTAACGTATGTCATTACTATATTTGCTTTTAATAAAACTTATAGTATAATTTATTGTAAATATAATGGATTATTAATGAGAATATCATTTATCAGCACTATAAAGGATCCTGAGAATTATAGACCAGTTAATGATCTAAGCTTACCATCTGATACTATATTGATGCAGTAGTATGGAACGTATTTCAGTAAGAAGTTATACATATTTAGTATATTGCTATTAGACCACTAGAGTGATAACAAGGAATATAGAGTAGTTTGTGTAAAGTGCTAAATATCCCACTTTGGAAGCTTAACATTATAAGAATTCAGGGAAGAGAGAGAAGGCATTAGGCCAGTTTATCAGTGACCTAACTTCATGGAGAAATTGAAACTGACTAGGTAGAGAAGAGAAGCCTATGTATTTACTCAATAAGTATTCAGTTCTTATGTATGAAAGATAGAGTATGTCACTAGGGTGATAGCAATTAAAATAGTAAAGTACCTTTTCTCATTTTCTAGTGCTTATTTATTTGGTAGGGAAGATAGACAGTAAACAAATGGAGATTAGATCAGAATATACACAAATACAACTACTCATTTATGCAAAAATTAGTTTAAATTCTGTAACTGATTGGATCATTCTTATAAGCTTAAATAAACTCATGAGATTAAAGATTGAATGTTGGGGAAGAGAAGCAGTAGAGGAATAGACATTACATTTGGTGTTAATAAAAAGTGGTTAAGGTATAGAGAAATAATGTGGAAAAAGACATGGAAATTGTAAACATTAGGATTTTTGATAGGATATTGAAAAAGTCCACTTTCTTAGGTGAAGGAACTGTGTTGAGAAATAATGGAAGATATACTACAATGTAAATATTTTATTGTGGGCAGTTGGGAACCAAAGTTCAAAGACTTAAATGAATGGGGTAACATAGTAGAAGTGGTATTTATTTGTTATGCTAGTCTCTTGGCAAAAGATTGAAGTGGCATTCAAGAAACTGTATGTGTTCATAAGGAAAAAAGACTATAGAACAATATCTCTGGAGAATATGGATGCAGAATCATTAACAAAATACTATCAAACTAAATCCAGCAATATATAATATATAAATAGAATTATACACCATGACTAGGTGGGATTTACCTAGTAATCCAAGGTTGGCTTTACATCTAAAACTCAATTAATGTAAAAAAAGTATCAATACAATAAAAAGCAAAATTATACAATCATTTTAATAAGGGTAAAAAAGCATTTGATAAAATCTAGTATCCTTTCTTAATAAAAACATTTAACTAAGAATAGAAAGGAACATCCTCAACTTGATAAATGGTATCTGTAAGAAAGCTATTTAATGATAGCTATAGAATGCATGCTTTCTCCCTGAAACTAAGAAAGAAATAAGTATGCTTCTGTGATCACTCCTGTTCAGCATTAAACTAGAAGTTCTAGCAAGGGCAAATAAAAGGGAAAAAAATTGGAAAGGAAGAGTAAAACTATTTATATTTACAAATGAAATGGTCTTGTGTATAGAAAACCCTAAGAAATAACTAAAAAACATTTACAACAAATATGTGAGCTCAGCAGGGTTATAAGAAAAAAAGATTAGTATATAGAAATACTTCTATACGCTTAAAACATAATTAAAAATGAAATGATTATATTTATAATACCATCAAAAAATAAAATACTTTGAAATACATTTAACAAAAGAAATGCAAAATTTACAATCTGAAAATTGCAAAATATTATTGAGAGAAAGATTTGGGTTTATTCTTTGTTTGTTTGTTTGGTGCTGGGCCTCATGCCTGCTAGGCAAGTACTCTACCACTGAGCTATATTCTCAATCTGAGGAAACAGTTTTAAAGATCTAGATAAATAAAAAGACATTTGTGGACCACAAGGCTTACTTTAAGTTAATAACATGACAATACTCCACAAATTGATCTCCAACCCAGCAAAATACTGCTCAGAATCCCAGCTAATCTCTGTAGAAATTAACAAGTTGATTCTAAAATTCATAATGAAATTAGAGAGGTCCAAACAGTC